GTTCTAGAATTTTTTGATTAGTTTTAATGTTTTAAGAAAGTCTCCACTTTTCTATCCAATTCTTCGTCATCTCTGCATTTACTGCATTCATCTTTTCCTGGAAGTCCTCTAATATTTACAGTGGATTTTTAGAAGTCCTTCTCTGGCAGTTCTGACACATTGATCATTTGTACGTTTGTGCCTGTCACACTTCTTTCCTCTTCTTGTTCTTTCCGATGGCTTGTGAATATTTATCAAAGACTTTATTGTATATTTTATTATAAAAATAAAAAGCAATGGATGCTAAGGAAGCAGTAAGTGTTAACATTATTCCGATATCTCCGTCCAATGCATCTGCAGTGGGGCTATGGTATCAGGAAGACGAGGTCACCTGCTGGGTACATGGAGCCCACCCTCCCAGGCTGCCCCTTCACAGTGCTCTGACCAGCCTTGGGTGGGGTGGGGGTGGGGCCACGAAATCCCCTGGTGGCTCCTTCCTGCTGGAGCCTTGCAGTCCTTGGCCCAGGAGCCTCAGGGAGGGGCTTCTTCAGTCACACGGAGTGGGTGGGAAGAGCTGTCAGGTGGAAGTCATGGTTTTGCTGACTGGCCTTCCAGCTTTCAGCCCACACCCTTACCAACATCTCTCCTGGCCTCCTCCTGAGCCAGTGAGTCACCTTGGACTGTGACGGGCAATGTTCACCTCCCACTCAAGCCCAGGGTGGTGTTCACCTCCCACCCATAGTCAGAGCCATGTTCACCTTCTGCCCATGGCCAGAGCCATGTTCACCTCCCGCCCAGACCCACGGCCGTGTTCACCTCCCGCCCACACCCACGGCCATGTTCACCTCCCGCCCAGACCCACGGCCATGTTCACCTCCCGCCCATAGCCAGAGCCATGTTCACCTCCCGCCCAGACCCACGGCCGTGTTCACCTCCCGCCCAGACCCACGGCCGTGTTCACCTCCCGCCCAGACCCACGGCCATGTTCACCTCCCGCCCAGACCCACGGCCGTGTTCACCTCCCGCCCATAGCCAGAGCCATGTTCACCTCCCGCCCAGACCCACGGCCATGTTCACCTCCCGCCCACACCCACGGCCATGTTCAAGGCTCCTCATACCCCTGGGATTCCTAAACAGAAGGATCATTTTCATGTTATTGGGATTTCTCTTGGCACTGACATAAAGACAAAGGTCTTTTGCATCCTTTGACATTCCTTCCAGAAGTAGAATTTTCCACATAGGCTTTTCACTTGTGCTCTATGAGATGAGCTAACGTAAAATGGGCCAGGTTTGTAAAAGTGGGTGGAATGCATTTCAGAAACACAAACTATGCAAACGCGGAAGATGTCACGTGCTGGTCATTTTACTATGAGCTTCTCTAGGATGTTTCCACAGAACATCCTTGGCCATTTCACTTTAGACAGATTCCTCAGCTCATTAAATGTCATTTTCCTGTTTCTGTTTTCATTCCCAGGCACATCAGGATAAACACAAATAGAATAACTCATTAAACTTGCTTCAGGAAACCAAACAAAGGAAAAGCACTTTTCTTGGCTGATTCATCCCTTTTGAGGGACGTAGTCTGCCAAACCTGTATTTATTTTAGCTACAAAACATAAATTTTGGCAAAGTCTAAATTTAAGATCAAAGTCTTTGGGTGAGACAGTGATATTTTCCAGTCTGTAGTCTAATTAAATCAGCATTATCCTACACCTAGGAAAGGCTCCCTGAAGCATCAATAAACCATGATTTAAATGTGGCCTCTGGTGTCCTGATGTTTCCTTCTGTGATTGGAGACTCGGTGGGGTGAGCATTGATAACGGCCCAGTCACCAGACCTGGCATGGGCTGGAGGCTCAGCCGGTTCCTGACTATCTGCCTTCCACATATGAAAGGCAAAAGCACGCATTCCAGTGAGTGTGAGGACCCAGATACAAGGAGTTTGCATCATCTGAGGCACTAGGTTTGTCAAAGTAAAATGCCCATGAGCTCAGGTCCAAATGCTCCCTACATCTCTGGAGCATGAAATCGCACTGCAGACCCAACTTAATTTCTGCCTGAACACTGATGTCTGTTTCTCAAATCCCAGCCTTTCTACCATCACCCCACCCTTGCACAACCGGGACTGTTTTTCCCAAAACATGCACATGGGGAAGACCTGAGCACCACGTCCCATGAAGGTCCTGAGGGCACTGAGGCCCGGCACTGGGATGGGGGAGAGAGTCTGGGCCTGACTGCCCCCCTGATTTGCCCCCAGATGCTGCAATGAGATGGCCAATGGGGGCTCCTCCCTGATGTCTCCCTCCTCTCTTTGTTGCTTAACAACAGACTTGAGTGTTGGGAGAAGCGTGTCCTCACATACAGCAGGAGCCAATACCATATCTGCCCGTTTAGTTTTTCCCAGGATTCGGATTCTGGGTAGAGCACCCTCAGCGAATAGTCAAGATGTCACAGGCTTCCAGGCATCTGAACTGTGAGGAGAGCAGCCTGGCAGAGGACACCCCACAGGAGGATGGTGTGCGGGGTGGACACACAAGCAGACAGCCCAGTCAGAGCTGTCATGATCAAGATAATCACCAATCTCTATTTAGCGTGGTAGAGAATGCTACTGCCTGGAGCCTCATCACTTTTAAAGTCCTAGAAAGAAGCAGACAGAGCCAGGGAGAAGCGTGCTGAACAGATCCGTCTGTGGTCATGAGGCTTGACCACCAGGAGCCACCGGAATGTGAGGAGGGCATGATGCCTTTTGGGTTTGTGTTTTCAGAGGCTCCGCGAAGCCTGGGGCAGCTCTGACTATGGTCTGGAGATCCTTCCCCCAGGAGGCACAGCACCCTGTTGGTCCTGTTGTAGCTGGAAAGGCAAATGACAAACCTGCCGCCCCTGAAACCCTTTACGGGATTAGTGAAGCCACGGTGCAGAAGTCATGGGGGAGCCCCCAGGACAGAGGCTTTTCCCAGGACACCCTGCAATGCAAGCATTTCTGGAGAGCTGATGGGATTTGTCTTTGTAAGTCCCCAGTGCCAATTTAAAAAAAAAAGCCTGGGGAACGGTGGCTCATGCCTGTAATCCCAGCACTTTGGGAGGCCAAGGCGGGAGGATCTAGAGGTCAGGAGAGCGAGACCATCCTGGCCAACACGGTGAAACCCCATCTCTACTAAAAATTCAAAAATTAGCTGGACGTGGTGGTGGGCGCCTGTAGTCCCAGCTACTGGGGAGGCTGAGGCAGGAGAATGGCGTGAACCTGGGAGGCGGAGATTGCAGTGAGCCGAGATCGCACCACTGCACTCCAGCCTGGGCGACAGAGCAAGACTCTGTCTCAAAAAAAAAAAAAAAAAAAAAAAAAAAGACTCGAAGGCCACAAAGGATGTAGCTAATAGAACAATTAATGAGCTGGATGAATAGACACACAGGGGCCTATTGTTCAAGATGCTCTCCTAGAGCAGCTCTCAGACATTCTCCCTGCTGCTTTAACATCGAGTCCCAAAACTCAAAGACTGCATAGCACAGGCAAAAATAAAACAGGCCCAGTGGCAACCACCGGGTGCAGGTCATGCTATGGGGGTCTTGAAGATGGTACTTTGGCACCAAGGTCTCCAATATTAAAGATAAACACAAAGTTCCCAGGTTCCCCTCCGTGGTCCCATGCACGCACAGCCCACCTGGAAAACAGGCTTGGCTCACAGACCAGGCTTGACCTCTAGCCCACCTTAGACTACTTAACTCGAGTGCACACGTATAAATCCATGCAGAGCCTGGCTGTAAGCAGTGTGGACTGTGGGGACCTCACTGGCGTTTGCTTGGTGTGGAACACTGTGCGGTTCTCATCACCCACTGAGGCCGTGGACTTTCGACTCGCCAGTTTCTCAGCGAGACACGCTGGCCCAGGCCACTGCCAGCCCCGCCTTCCCTGGGCCCCGCCTTCCCTGGGCCCCGCCTTCCCAAGGATCTGCCTCCCACCAGCCCCACCTCTCCTAGGCCCCCGGAATCCCCACAGGCTCCACCTCTCCACAGGCCCGACTTCGCATCAGCCCTGCCATCCCTGGGCCACGCCTCCCCGAGGCCCTGCCTCCCCACAGACCCCACCTCCCATGAACCTTGCCTCCCAACAACCCCACCCCGTCAATCCAACCTCCCCTGAGCCCCATCTCCCCTAGGCCCCTTCTCCCCTAAGCCCCACCTCCAAAGAACCCCACCTCCCATCATCCCCACCCTCTCAGCCCCACCTTCCCTAGTACCCACTTCCCCTAGGCCCCACTTCGCCTAGGCCCCACCTCCAAAGAACCCTGCCTCCCCTCAGCCCCACCCCCTCAGCTCCACCTCCCACCCCCATGTCCCAGGCTCTGTGCAGCAAGTCACTCATAACCACAGTTAAAAAGTTTAGGTGGCTCACGCCTATAATCCCAGCACTTTGGGAGGCCGAGGCGGGTGGATGACCTGAGTTCGAGACCAGCCTGACCAACATGGCAACCCCCCCCTATCACTACTAAAAATACAAAAATTAGCTGGGCTGGTGGCGGGCGCCTATAATCCCAGCTACCCAGGAGGCTGAGGCAGGAGAATCGCTTGAACCCGGGAGGCGGAGGTTGCAGTGAGCCGAGATCGCGCCATTGCACTCCAGCCTGGGAGACAGTGAGACTGTCTCAAAAACAAAAAAAGTTTAGAAAAACTGAATTCAACAGAGCTCAATATAGCAAAGAAGAACTCTCCATGGAGAGCCCTAGATCCAGTTTCAGAGCCACCAGGGCTGCCCCAGGGCCGGGAGCCTGGATGGTGGAAAGGAGGTGGCCTCAGGAAGCAGAGAGGACGGTGGGCGCGAGGGCCCTCGTAGCGCTAGAGCCGGGACCTTGCCATTGGCTGAGGCTCAGTGACTGCGATTGGGTCAGACCCAGCTGCTGTGATTGGCCCAGACACAGCCTCTGTGATTGGCTGAGATTCAGCTGCTATGATTGGCTGAGATTCAGCTGCTGTGACTGGCTGACACCTGGATGCTGTGATTGGCTGCGACTGGGCGTGTTGTCCTGAGAGCATGCGCAGTTCTCACTCTGCAGCTGGCTCTCCCTGGGTCGGGAGCTCTGCGCCCACGTGAAGGTTGAGCTTTTCCTCTGGCTCCTTGAGCCGCGACATCAGGCTCCTCCTGCCCTCGGACACCGGAGCTCCTGGTATTCGGGCCTTTGGACTCGGGCTGAATGACTCCTCAGGCTCCCCCAGCTCTCCAGCTTGCAGAGGGGTCTCCATGGTGATGTGGATCGGCTCCCGTCAGCACCGCCTCATGCCTGCACCGCCTGTGCTTGCAGTCCTCTGAGAAGCCCTGGCTGGTACCCGGGGCCTGCTGGGCCCTCTGCGTCCCTCTCTTCCCTGGACCTGGTCCCCAGCCCTTTCCCCTCCCCGCCACAGCCCCTCCCTGCAGACCTCAGAGGCCTGGGCTTAGGCCTCAGCCAAGGCTGCTCCCAATCCAGAGGCGATTTTCAGCCTAGCCTTCGGGACAGGATCTCCTCAGCTGCCGCCATCGAGAGTCCACGTGTTGAAACCCAGCCTGGACTCCTCCCCTCCAGGGGCAGAGGCGGCTCCATCGCTCCTGGCAGACCTTGGGCACTTTCTTGGCTTCTCTGATGCTCACCTCCTACCTGCTGGTTTTATCTTCACAATTTACTAGCCCGGCCAGGCCCTCGCGCTCCCTGGGCCGCCAGCGTGGCCCAGCCTCGTCCAATCCATGCCTCCCTGGCGGGTGGCAGTGGTGGCCTCTGAGGTTCTCCCTGGTCCCACCTGGCCTTGCTCTGGAGTCCGTGTCTGCTTTCAGTTGAGCCGTGAGGGATCCGGTTACTCCATAGATCAGAGCCCTGAGCGACTCCTGGTTCAGCCGGAGAAAGAGCCACGCTCTTCCTGTGGCCCCCGCTCTGCTTGTCCCTCCAGACGCCTCACCCTGACCTTCCGGCGTAAGCTCAGGTCTCTGCCCCTCACGGAAACCTTCCTACCCCACCGCCCCCATTTGGTAATGAAGCTTCATCCTGAGCCAAGGCGTCCTGGCCCCTGTAACCTGCTCTGCTTTCCGTGCCTGTAGCACCCATCACCTGACTTTTACTTTTCATGTCATTGTTGACTGTTAAGCTCCCAAGGCAGAGGTGAGCTCTGATTTTCTTTAGGGACATATGCCAGGCTCCTGGAAGAGGTCCTGGCAGGTTGCAGCTTTGACAAATTTGGATGGAACTGAGGAAGCTGGCGGAGAGGACAGAGATGCTCAGTTGCTCGAAAAATTGTGGGTCAAGCACTATTGGATTCCAACATGTCAGCAATCAATCAATCAATCACCTTTCTTTAAAGTGTGAATTCCTTGACTCCAGTTTCCTAAAAGAGCAAGTAAAAAGTAAGGGAAAATACAAATTAAAAGTAAGTGGTGTAATTCTTCCTGTATTATTAACAAGAGAGAGCCCTGGAACCTTTTCTCAGAGCATTTACTGTAAAACTTGTAATTGAAAGTTCTTTGTCTCTTTGAAATGTGTACAACTCTTTTAAAAAGCTAAATAAGCTTCGTGACAGTTTTACAGCCCAGGAATGTCTTTCTCAAGGACTTGGGAGCCATCCATTTGAAACAGTCGTCCAGGAAGGCAGCTCCAGGTTCCCTGGGAGGTTTGGGCCTAGAGTCAGCTGGCAGGGCCTCAAAGTTGCAAACCCACCTCCTGTTGTAAAGGTAAGAGTTTATTTTTCCTTCCAGATAAAACCAGTTAACTAATGATGGCCATCCCAATTGCCAGACAAATCTGGGGTGAGCTATGAGTGGCAAGTGGTGGCGTGGTGTCCTCTCACCTGAGTCCGAGTTCTCGCCCATCTGAGAATGAGTGTGGTGGCTGCACCTGCTGGCCATGTGAAGGTGACGTTTCTTGTCTCTGCAATCTCTTAGCAAGTCACCTGTGATGCACGTCGTATTCTGGTTTAGTGTTTATTCTAACATAAAACTGTCTTCTTTTTCTTCTACCATTGTGGAGATTGTCCCAGTTTGTCAGAAGATCCCAGTGTTAATTATATTCCCCTGAAAAAAGTCGCAAAGATGCAGTTGTCTTTGCAAGACCCTTGGCACATGGGGCTTCTGTTTCTCGTGGTGGGAACTTCCAAAGAATACGCTTTGTGGAAGGGCAGTGACAGCCAGGACTTGGCTTTTTTCCACAGCCATGAAGGGATGCCCTCGAGTCGCTAATGTCACTGCCCAGCGGGTTCCCCCTGCCCTCTGCCTAGACAGAGCCAATTTATCAAGGCAGAAGAGTTGCAATAGAGAAAGAATAATTCACACAGAGCTGGCTGTGCAGGAGACCAGGGTTTTATTATTACTCAAATTAGTCTCCCCTGAAACGTGGGGAAGGGTCAGAGTTTTTAAGGATAATTTGGTGGGTGAGGCTTGGGAAGTGGGGAGTGCCGATTGGTCAGGCTGGAGATGGAATCATAAGGGCTGGAAGTGGGTTCTTCTTGCTGTCTTCTGTTCCTGGGTGGGATCACAGAACTGGTTGAGCCAGATTCGCGGTGTGGGTGGCGTTAGCTGGTGTCTGCATGGGAACCCAGGGTCTGCAAAACCTCTCTGATCTTAGGTTTCACAGCAGTGATGTTATTCCCAGGAGCAACTTGCAGAGATTCAGACCCTGCAGCCGGAGGCTCCATGGCCCCTAAATCGTAATTTCTCATCTTGCAGCTAATTTGTTAGTCCTGCAAAGGCAAACTGGTCCACAGGCAAGAAGGAGGTTTATTTTGGGAAAGAGCTGTTTTCATATTTGTTTCAAAGTTGAACTATAAATGTCTGCCTGAGGTTAGTTCAGCCTCTGCCAGGCATGAATAAGGACAGCTTAGAAGTTAGAAGCAGAAGGAGTCAGTCAGGTCTGATCTCTTTCACTGTCGTCATTTCCTCAGTTATAGTTTTTGCAAAGGCAGTGTCAGTCATGCAGCCAGGGCGTCGTTGGCTCTGGGCAGGGGTCAGCCAACCATGGGCTGCAGGCCGCATCTGGAAGCCCTGGTGTATTTGTCAGTAAAGTTTTATTTATGCAACCATCCCTGTGAGTTCACATGCTGGTTATGACTGCATTTGTACTAGGATGGCGGAGTTGAGTAGTTTTATTTCAATACGCTGGTTTGCTACTAGAAAAGAGAAAGTGTATTTCGTACATGATTACCTTGATGCTGGTGATGTTCACTTTGTCTTCTGTTTAGTGTGTTGTTATAGATTTTTTAGTCCAATCTGATCATTTCTATCTTGAACAGTAAGTTATCATTTGCATGTGTTTGTAATATCATTCATAGTTTTGAAGCAACTTTAGGCATATTATTTGACTTTTTAAAATCTTACTGTAGGCCGGGTGTGGTGGCTCACACCTGTAATCCCAGCTCTTTGGGAGGCTGAGGATGGATCATTTGAAGTCAGAGTTTAAGACCAGCCTGGCCAACATGGTGAAACCCTATCTCTACTAAAAGTACAAAAATTAGCCGGGCTTGGCGGCATGTGCCTGTAATCCTAGCTACTAGGGAGGCTGAGGCAGGGGAACCTGGGAGGTGGAGGTTACAGTGAACCAAGATCGTACCACTGTCCTCCAGCCTGGGCAACAGAGTGAGACCCTGTCTAAAACAAAACAAAACAAAACAAAACTGTGTGTGTGTGTGTTTACCTTGTAAAAGGTATTTTTTTGACTTTTTAAAAACTTTTTTTACTTTGTAAAATGTGCAGTATATTTTTTAAATTATAGAAAACTTGAAATATAGATTAAATCATATATCTATGTCTACTGAACATCCATTTGACCAACAAACAAATAATTGGGTATCAACAGAGTCTCATTTGTTTCAGATCTCTAATTGTAAAGGAGCAGGGCATTAGAGACAGCCGAAACCTCAGCACCCACTCTTCCTCCCCACCCTGCATGGGTCTCCCCCGCCAGGTGTGTGTCCGCTGCTGGAACTCAGAAGGCCAGGTGGTGAGGGAAGGCTGTGGTGCCCAGCTGAGGAGCAGGTGTCCCTGAGAACCCACTAAGGAAAGCAGGGTCAAAGTGCGAATGCAGTCAGCAGAGCCAGAAAATTAGGTTTAAAGCAGCTTAGATATGGGAGGTGGCACGGCTCTCTAGGGCTGACCCACCACCGCCCAGGAGCGCCCCCATGTACATCCTAATAAATTCATCTAGCCGCCAAGCTGCACCTGTCTGAGTCATTCTTTAGTCACTTGGCTCCCTCCCAGTCTCGGGGGACATTGCGGTCCCAAGGTTTTCAGGTTAACAGGTCACCTCTGACCTGAAGCTGGTATCAGCTGTCCCAACACGCACGTGTGCCCCAGTGCCACCAGTGCACCTGTCCCTACCCCTCCCCTCTCTCTCCGTCTGTTTCACTGTCTCTGTCTCTCTCTGTCCCCCTCTCTAACTCTGCCCCATCTTTATGAAAGCACAAAGCAGGTGTAAGATGAAGATATGCCTCTGTGCTCTGTGCTTTAAACATGCACAGACCACAGAGGCTGTGGCACACGAGTCCTCACGGAACTGCGGTGCCATTGGTGGCTTCTGTTTGGGAGACGCACCCATGCTGGTCAGTGTGGATCCCTTTATCAAATGTCACTCCACTTCCTGGTCTGAATGGTGGCCAGTTTGCATTCACAGATGTCAGGTGAAGTTTATCTTCCCTCATTTTCATCTTACAGCAAATGAGCAGGAAAGACTTAAGAACAGACACCCACAGTTGAGCTGTGAGTTTGCTCGTGGGGTGAGCACATTTCCAGCTCATCTGCAGTCAGTCTGCACGGCCTCCGAGTCCGTGGCCCCGTCCTCGCCAGCACCCACCGTCTCTATTGTGGTGAGAAGCTGGCACCAGGCCTCGTGTTTCCCCATCACGTCAACCCTCCGCCTCCTCGTTCCCATGGGCCTGGGCATCCTTCCACGTCTTAATCGGCCATTCTGGGTTCTTTTCATGCAGATTACTCGTTTCTATTCTCCTTTCATTTCCTTCCAGGCAGCTTGTCCTGTTCCTCACTGAGGTGGGGGGTTTGTCTCTATGTTACACGAAGTGGGTCACGGATGTCTGTGTTGGAGGCAGGGGTTCAATTAGTTGTGGTGTCTTGTGTCACAGATTTTTTAAATTAAAATCTTTTCTGTTAAGCTTTGCACTTTTTGTGCTTTATTTCTTGCATTCCATTTGTGTTGTTCAGAGAGTCTGGATGTTTTCACAGTTTTCAGGTCCATGTTTACGCTGCTGACCCACCGGGGATTCGCCTTTGTGTGACGGGCGAGTGGTGGCTCTGCTGTTTCTTGATGTTTCCATGTGGCTCAGCGCTGCTGATGGGCACCGGCCCCACTGGAACCTCCCCTGCGGTCGGGCTGTCGGCCGCCTGTGTCTCCAGCGGCGCTTCCCGTCTAGGGTCTTTCACTCTGGGAAACGGTTTCCGTCATCACGGCGTTTCCTGCAGCCCCCGGTCACCTGTGAGATGCTCCCTGTTTGCTCTCCTTACCCTTTTGTTTCTTTGATATTCTTGGTGTTTCCACCCTCCATGTGAATTTTAGACCAAATTTATAAAGTTCTATGAAAAGTCACTTAGGGCTTTCATTAGAATTAGATACATTTTCCAGATAAATCTATCAGTTCAACATAATTAGATCTCTCTGTCTACGTATGGATTATATTACACATCACGTATTACATATGCAATTGATCTGTATGGTACATTCCTAAAATTATTACCACACGTGTATTGAAGCAGTTCATTGATTTTTTCTCTCTGGAGGTCATTACCGTCGCACCGTTGCTGTCCTGGTAGATGATGCCTTTCCTCATACCTTTCATGGTTGCTTTTCTTTGTTTCTTGTTTACCTCTCTCTTGCATCTGTCTGACTGAGGGATTTCTAATCTTTTTTTTTTTTTCATTAATCAATTGGAAAGCTTTAGGTCATGTTTTTGTTCTGTTACTGCCTACCCATATAGTTTTAATTGCATATGTGACTACATAGTTCCCATGTAAATCTCAGCTATTTAACTTGTCCCAGGTAATCTTGTGCATCTAAGGTCAAGGGCACAGTGAGAGAACACAGGAGCCTTCGGTGTCCAGGGTGAGGGCTCCCGTGCTGTGTGCCGCAGACCAGCGTTCTGGTGGGCGGGTGTTTTAACGTCCCCACAGAGCTGAGCGTGGATGAGAGACTTCCCAGCATGTTGCCTTCTCATTGACTGTGGCGGGAACAGGTGTGGGAAAGAAGAGATTGTCTTAGAAATTAAGTTAAGGATGAAACCTTGTAAAAATTGTACTTCCTAAAAATACTAAAAATAAAGGCCAAAAATACACTTGGCAAGTACAGTTCACACAACATTTTTCCTGCTATTCAGAAGAGTGACTTTGGACTTGGTAACGAGAGGATTTCGTGTCCCTGCCTGTCTCCGCGTCTCGCCGTCTTCCTAGCGTGTTCCTCCACACTCACCGTGCAGACACAGGTGCACGCCCGCGGACCCACAGAGGCAGCACGTTCCAGGAGGAAGTGAAAGAATCCCACGTAAAGAAGATGAACGGTTTCATAGGTTTCACTTCTGATGTTGTTCGCTCAGTGAGAACATAATTAAATGGTACTCTTGGGCGAATCCATGAAGATTATCTTTTAAATATAGGCTATTTTGTTTGATTCCCAGTTACTTTGTTTGATTACCAATTACTTCAAAGTTTGTCTGAGAATTTAGTTGGGTCTGAGATTA